ATCTCCATTCCTTTGATTTTTTTGTTTCCTTGTTCTGTGATGTTTACCGAGGACATAGAGCCAAAGCATACTACCCAAGTGAAAAATGGCAGATGGAGGAGGCAGCCGCCCAGCAAGGCTGGCACGTTGCCCTCGAGTACTTTAGTGTCGTCAGCCACAGTGCCTGCCTTCTTCCTGCAGATAAGTGCTGACACAAACCTCCCTGTGCAGGGCCACAGGAGAAAGCTCGGCAGGCCTGGAATGGCTCTCTGGCAAGGGGTGGGATTATTGGGCCTGCTTGTTAGCTTTGGGAGCACTCATGCTTGTTCTTGTGCCAGCACCATCATAGAAAGCAAGTGGAGAGGGACTGTTTTGTGACCAGGTCCTTTTCTGGGGGATGTGGGCTTCTCTGGGGACTTCCTATGGGGTGCAAATGGCAGAGCAGTTCACTGGCAGGCTGTTCTGCAGGAGCTGTGCAGAGCCAGAACAGGTGGGAGCGATGACGCCAACAGTGGTGTCAGTGCCATCCTGGTATGCAGTGAGACATATGGGCTCATAGCTTTCTGCCTAGCAAGCCAGCTTGCTAGCTCCTTGCATGGCTCCCATGCAAGAGCAGGGCCACTCAGTGTGTGCTTCACAGTGGGGAGTGTAAGGAAAACTTATTTTATGTGGAAATTTAAATCATACACAAGTTACAGAAAAGTTCTGCACCCTGATCTAGCTGTAGGTGTCCTTGTGTATTGCAGGGGAATTGGACTAGATGGCCTTTAGAAGTCCATTCCAACTCTAATGATTCTGTGGTGATTCTAGGACATCTGAACTGCAGGGGAGAAGAGCGCAGCCAGCCTTTGCCCTGTCTGTCCTATCTTCCACTTTTTTTTTTTTTTTCTTTTTTTGCATTTTTGTTCATGACTTGAACAGTATCTGTTAAAAGTGTAAGGCTGCACAGACACCACTGTCTCAGATGAAGACATATGTGCAGTGAAGTGAATGTCAGGAGGGAAATCCTCCCAACACAGCGTCATGCATCCCATGTGCATGGCTTGTGGCTCCCAGAGATGAGCTAGAACAAAGAGCACAAGGAACCAACCTAGGGAAATAAAGTACTCTGAGGGGCTGATTTTAAAGTACATTTTGCTGAGACTGTTAATCATGGAACACACAGGAAATTAATTTAAAATGATGTCATAATAATAGCACATGAAAGGAACACAAACGCTGCATAACTTGTATAAACAGTATAACAGAAACAGAAAGGGATCTGTGTGCTGACACTTGTGTAAGTGCAAAGCTGAACGGCAGGCAGGTGTGCAGCCTGTGGGCCAGAGGTGTGGAGGGCTGGCTTTCAGGGCACCAGGAACAGAGTCTGCTTCTGCCCGCAAGTGCAGCCCTCGTGGGCAGTTCAGTGCTGGGGGACATCTAACCTGGTGCTCTTTCCCACAGGACAGTGGGTTTAGGATTTTGTTATCCTGTGCTTACTTCTGAATTGACCTAGCCCTGTAATTACAGTAATTTTCATAGAACCATAGAATCACAGAATCACAAGGTTGGAAAGGACCTACAAGGTCATCTAGTCCAACTGTCCTCCCACTACCATTGTTACTGCAGCTACTAAACCAGATCTCCCAGCTCCTCATCCAGACGCCTCTTGAACACTGCAGGGACGGCGACTCCACCACCTCCCTGTGCAACCATTCCAGTGCCTGACCACTGAGAGAAAACGTTCTTCCTCATGTCTAACCTAAAGCTCCTCTGGTACAACTTGTGGCTGTTTTCTTTGATCCTGGTTGTTGACTGGGAAAAGAGGCCAAACTCCTCCTCATCACAGCCTCTCTTCAGGAAGTTGTACGTGCAGTGAGGTCTCCCCTGAGCCTCCTCTTCTCCAGACTGAACAATCCCAGCTCCCTCAGCTGGTCCTCATTAAGACTTGTGCTCCAGACCTCTCACCAGCTTTGTTGTTGAGGGGCCCAAAACTGAACACAGTACTCAAGGTGCAGTCTTGACAGAGTACAGGGAAATGATTACCTCCCTGCTCCTGCTGGCCACACTATTTCCAATGCAGGCCAGGATGCTCTTGGCCACACCTGGGCACACTGTTGGCTCATGTCCAGCTGAGCATCAACCAACACCCCCAGGTCCCTTTCCTATTCACAGTCATCCAGCCACTCGTCCCCAAGCCTATAGTGCTGCATGGGGTTGTTGTGGCCAAAGTGCAGGACCCAGCACTTGGCCTTGTTGAACCTCATCCCATTCACCTCAGCCCAGCGATCCAGCTTATCTAGATCACTCTGAAGGGCCTCCCTATCCTCAGGCAGATCAATACCACCTCCCAACTTGGTGTCATCTGCAAAGTTACTGAGGGTACATTCAATCCCCTCATCTAGGTCATCAATAAAGATAGGCCCCAGTACCAACCCCTGGGGGACACCACTTGAAACGGGTCGCCAGCTGGACCTAATTCCATTAACTACTACCTGCTGGTCACGGCCCTCTAGCCAGTTCCTTAGCCAAAGAAGGGTATACCTGTCCAGGCCACAGGCAGCCAGTTTCCCCAGGAGAATGTCTTTCCCCAGGACTGTCACTTGCCACATGGACTTGTGACAGTCCAGATGGATGGGGAGCTCTCTAACTGTCCCCACCTGAATCACTGGGGGTGTATTCTGCGTAGCCAGATCAGGGCGTAAATTGCCTGGAGGATAACTGATCTGCCTATTAAAGGCAGATGTAAAGAAGGTGTTGAGGACCTCAGCCTTCTCCTTATCCTTATTCCCTGCTGCATCAAGTAAAGGATGGAAGTTCTCATTGGTTCTTCTCTTACCACTGATATATTTGTAAAAGGATTTCTTATTCTCTTTTACTGCAGTGGCCAATCTCAGTTCAAGTTGGGCTTTTGCCCAACTTCTTTGTAATCTCCCCACGTAGCCTGTCCCTTCTTCCAGAGGACACAGACTCTTTTTCTTCCGGAATCTCAACAACAGTTCCCATTTAATCCACACTGGTCTTCTTCCCCTATGGCTTGCCTTATGGTTCTTGTGCCTTTAAGATTTCCATCTTGAGGAGCATCCTGAACAGGTCAAAGTCCTCCCTCTGGAAGTTCAGGATAGCAGTTTTGGTAGTCACCATTCTGACATCTCTAACAATACAGAATTCTACAATTCTATGGTCGCTTTGCTCAAGACAGTCCTCAACCTTCACATCTCCCACCAGTCCTTCTCTGTTAGTGAAGAGAAGATCTAGCAGGGCACTACCCCTGGTAGGCTCTCCTACCAGCTGTGTTAGGAAGCTATCTTCCACACAGCCTAGAAACCTCTTGGACTGCCTCCTCTGTGCTGTATTATATTTCCAACATATATCAGGGAAGTTGAAGTCTCCCACAAGAACGAGTGCTGCAATCACACAACATCCGCAAACTGCTCATAGAACGCCTCGTCCATCTCTTCATTCTGATTAGGCGGTCTATAACAGGACCCCTGTGTCACCCCTATGTGCCTTCCCCCTGATCCTTACCCATAGACACTCAACTTTATCATTCCCAACCCCAAGCTCTTCAACATCAAAACACTCTCTAATTTTGTTTGTTCTTTCAACCAAAAGCTGCAAATTAGGGACCAAATCACTCCAAAGCAGGTGTTATCATGTGTCCCACGCATGATAAAGACCTGCAGAAGTTGTAGAGTTACTACAGCTCCCTGCTGCTGTCTCTACAGGCTGTCTAAGTTGCTTTGCAAGTCAGCCAAGTGTGTACTTGCAAATCAGCTTGGGATGTCTGTTCTCAATCATATCCAAACCTGCAAAGTCAGGGAGCAGTCAGAAATATATATTTTAGTGGAAAAAACTCATTACTTGAAGATATTTCTGTGGCTCTGTCAGATTTGACATGTGTTTTTCAAATAATTATTGACATCATCTTATATGAAGTGTTTTTATGTTGATTAGAAATTATTTTTCTTGAGTGATTACGACTGCATCTAAAAAGCTGGTTTGCAAAGTTTATGCAAATGCAAAAGAAAACTATAGAAATAATCCCTGCCAGAAACTGCAAAACTGTCACTTTCATGGTACACAAGAACTTGGGGAGAGCAGGCTGGATTTTGTGTAATTATTTAAAAAATATGGTGCTCAGACAGCAGATAAATCAAGAAAAGTGCCTGGCCCAGAGAAATTGTTTCTGACGTTCTGAAACAAGGATTTGAGATGATCGGGTTTCCTCTTTCTGCAAGGCACTGTCACATCTTAAGTACCTCACAGCATCAGAGATGGAGGGAGACAGCTGAACACAGCTGAACACAGCCTGAACTGCCTGTGCACAACAGATCCTGGCATTGTTTTTTTTGGAATGAACACAAAAACCTTGATAGTGTTATGGTTTATGTGGCATATGATAATAAGCTGATTCATTTCCTGCTTAGATTCTTACCCAAATTTAGATCTATTTTATTGTTGTTGTTGTCTAAGAAGCAGTTAAAGATGTATCTCTGCATCCTAGCAGTTTCTCATCTCCATACAGGAAACAAATTCTATATGGTTCTGCTGCAACTTGATCCTGTGCCCAGGAATGTTTCTCGTCAGCACCACCACCACCAAAAAAGGAGCACTTTTTAAATTGTATCAAGGTAGGATGAGGTGCATGTCCACACTCCCCTCTCTGCTGAGGAAGCACATCAACATTTGGGCCTTTCCTGCAGTGAAAGGCCCCAGCACACGTCTCCGCGCCCAGCCTTGAAGCAGGGGAAATCTTTCCTCCTCATAGGGAATCTCAGTGCTGGGATGCTATGCCCTCATTTCCTACCACCACCTGCCTGTCCTCTTTGGGCATTAGAACCCTTTTGCTGGGTGCAGGATGCCCTGGGAAGTGCTTGGAGCTGCCACGCCTAACTTGGTGTGCTTGTACACACTGAGCAGCACACTAGGCAAGTCTCCTGCTGGAGTAACAAATTGGGGTGATGCTGATAACACAGCTTCCTGTGTTTGCTTATTAAAATGTAGGGTACAAAAGGAGCTAAGTTGTGTAGCTTTCCCTCATGTGCAGCTGCTTTGTGTTGATGCAACTTCCTTGGGAAGCAAAAAATCAACAGGAAAATTCAGGCTTTTTTTCCCACTGAGTCATGCTGTTGCAGCTATGCCAGAAGACAGAGCTTTCTGTGTTGGTAGTGTCAGCCTTTGTGTCACAGCTTGCAAACCTCCCTGCATGCTGCAGCTCCGACGGCAGCAAATCAGCTTCACGCTCTTCTGGCTGAAGGCTTTTGGGAAGGGTAAGAGCAAAGGGTGGGGAAAAAAACCTGCTTCCTTGACAGGGGCAGTCTGAAAGGCTGGCTGTGGAGCAACCACTTGCGCAATGTTATTGCACTCTGCCACAGTGGCAAGGCGAGGACATTGCACAAGGAAAATTAGGGGAATCTGTGCTTCTGCTTTTCAGCTGGGTCTGCAGATTTGGGCATTCAGCTACTGCCAGTGTAGGCCTGACAAGGAATATGATGGAGTTAACACTGCCTATTTCACATTATAATATTCCTTTTTTTTCTTCTTTTTTTGTAGTTCGAAGATGAATACATGAAGCACTGTGAAGCAGATTAAAGCACAGGCACCAGCGGCGCATGCCAAGGCTCTGCTCCCAGACCTGTGAACCGATGCCAAGCCTTCCACATCTTGTTCCAGAGGCTATGAGCACAGGTTTGACCATCTCCAGGGGGTCAGGAGGGTGCTGCAGGCTCAGCCCTGCTGCTGCTGGCAACCATGCGAACAGCTTATGGGGTGAGCACCAGGAAGCAGCCCTATGCAGGTTGCAAGACATTTCTGCTAATGCCGCAGGCTGGCCAACAGCCTCAGGGACTTCCTCCCTGTCCTGCTGCCTCAGCATTTTCTTCCAGACTAAGCTATGGGAGGGTGTTGCCTGCCCTTGGTGAGGCCCCCGTCCATGCTCTTGCTCCTTGTTTCTCAGTCTCCCAGCAGAACAGCAGCACAAGAGCTGTTTAGAGCACGGATGCTGCCATGCAGGTGGAAAGGGAGAATGTTGGGGACTTGCTGCAGAATCATCTCAGGTGAGTGTGTGGAGGGGGAGCAATTGAAAGAAAGAGATCCACCTCTTGTGGAGGGTCAGCACCACGCTGGCAGGATGAGAGGGCTGCAGGCCTGCAGTAGCTGGAGCCTGATCCTAAGGACCTGAAGACTAGCATTGCTTGGTTCATGGCTTTTGACCAGCACACCTGTTTCTGCGGGGTTCTGTCCCACACAAAAGCATAAACACGTTTTTATGTCAGCTTTGGTTCACATCCAGCTAATACATATTCCTAATATATCCTGACCTACGTGGTGGAGGCAGGTTGTGGTCAGAGACTGCCCCTGCCAGCAGCAGGGATGTGGGTCACAGTGCTGGAGCTAGGGGGAGGGAACTGCCTGTGGTGCGAAGTGGGTGCTGCATGAGCTGCTGTCAGATGCAGGGTGACATCTAAACTAAAGCTTCAGAAACAGTATCCGCAGCTCTGTCTCAGCTCTGCATGCCTTCTGTCAAAGGCTTGTGTAGGGTCTCTGCTCTCTGCAAGAGCACAGGCTTGCTGCAGCTCTGTGCCCTTCTGCTGGGAAAAAGCGATGTACTGGCCAAGGTACATAGCTGCTTCAAAGCATTGCAAGGAGGAAGGAGAATGATATCTTCAAGTTGAGTATGGAAGAGGAGAGAAAGCACTCACAAGATGCAATTTTGTTCAGCACAGTTACTCTGGAGAAAAAGCAGGTGAAGTGTATTCTTGCTTTAAGACAGGACTTTGTTCCCACTATGATTTTGAAAGAAGTTGCACTGCGCTTAGTCTCCAGCTGATGCTGTGGGAGGCAGCTGCTGGTTTCTAGCCTTTGCAAGGCAGTGTAGGGGACAGTTCTGGCATTCTTAGGCCTTTCCTGCCTCTGGATAACCTGATAAATCCTGACAAATTGATTTCCTGGAATGTGAGAGAAGTCATGTAGTATTTGTTTCCCAATTCATGAAAACAAGCAGATTTCTCACTCTCATTTCTTGGCTTTTTAAGCTGTTTGGGAAAGGTCCTAAAGGAAGAAGGACAGGGTCCCTCTAGCCTTCTACTTTTGGAAGAAATGAGAAACGTAGGCCCTGTTTCATACTCTTGCATGTGATCTATGTCTCTCTGTTATCACCCTATGCTTTCTGTACAAGTGAAACTCCTGAGGCCCTGGTTAGAAGTGTGCTGAGAGCAGGCTGAGCTTCAACCTTGGGAAGAAGTTGCTGATGGGAAAAGAAACAAAAGCTAACCCCTACTTCAGATCTCCACAGGTGCATGGTGGTGATGTCATAGCATGTGAGAAATTGTTATGTGCTGATTGAAATACAGGGCCTCCTGTGTCTCTTCAAACCTCTTCACAAACTGAACTTTTTAAAAAACTTTTTCAAGGAGTTGCAATTTTGATGGCAAAAATGTACAGGGATTAGTTGCACCAAACTCAGAATTAACATTTTAAAATGTTTTGATAATCCAAAGTTCTCCCTGTTTGAAAAACAAGAGCTATTCTGCTGAGAGGTGTGAGAGGAAAGCGGCAGCTTTTGGGAACCTCATGGCATCTCCTCACTGAAATGCTATGCCCTGCAGCTTTCTCCATCTCTTTTTCAGAGCAAAATTGCTTTAAAAATGTTGTTATGCTTATCATCTGTTTTAAGGAACAAACAAAAATACGAGGGTGTTTCAATTCTTTCAATTCCTCTTTCAGAAAGTGCTTAATTTTTACCCTTATGTGCAATGCTAATTTTAAGGCAGTGGGACTGAGGCGTGCTATCAAGCTTCTCCCTGGACTTTGTCATGCTTGAATATCTGCTGCCAACAGAGCAGGTGTCTGGGAGGCGGCTGCAGTCAGCATGTCTGTCTGTCTGTAGGCAGGCATTTCTCAGAGCAAGCAGACAGCAGAACGGGGCATCTTTTGAGTTTAGAAAAAATAGATGGAAGTTGCTGTCAGGAAGTTCAGAGTTTGAATTTAATTGTTTTCCCCTTCAGCGCTGGGAAGGCTTCATGCATGCACCCTGCTTGGCCATTTGATCAGGTATTTGTTTCCATTCAGTCAGGATAAAATAAATGTCACTTCTTTCAAAATCACCTTGGATATTTACAGAGGGATGCTTTTATTCAAGCTGTGTCTTCTTTTTGAGTATCGTTCCATTTTTTTTCTTTTAGTATTGTTATGATTTTCATGTGTTTTCTACTGGTGAGGTACTGGCACAGGCTGCTTAGAGAAGCTGTATGTGTCCCATTCCTGGAGGTGCTCAAGGCCCTGCTGGACGGAGCCCTGGGCAGCCTGAGCTGGTAGGGAGCAGCCCTACCCACCACAGAGGGGATTGGGACTGGGTGGGCTTTGAGGTCCCTTCCAACCCAAGCCATTCTGTGATTCTACTTGTTGATAACTTAGGACTGCAACATCCTAGGAAAGGGAAGGATGGTGAATGTTTCTCCAGTACTCTTTTTGACTAAACAGCTTGACTCCAACTTACATATGTGTTGCAAGATACAGAAAATTTACAGAGCCCAAACAACAGAAACAACTTGGCTGTGCTGAGATCTTCTGTTGCTCAATACAGTTAACAACTCCTCAATGCATATCAAGCGATAAATATCAAAAGTAGAAAGATAGGGAGCAGAATGCTGTTCTTCCTCAAAACTATTTCTGCACCTAATGCTGCAGGAAGTGATTATGAAAGAATGACTTGTGCAAAATAGTTCTATCAGCCTTTCCAGTGATGAGAACTGACTGTCAGGAGAGGAATCTGCTTCTTTCAACTTGCAGGGAAGAAGGTACACAAAGAAAAGGTTTTCATTTTTGTGTCCCCATTCAGCAGCAGTGATAGAAGTAACAGGAAGCAGAGTCTGAAGGGCAGTGTGGGCAATCCTGAGCTCTTTAGGAGATGTGTCTTAGTTAGAGGGCATTGGGAAGCTGTCAGCACTAACTTTTCTCCAAGGAGCACAGGTGGGAATATTTTGTAGCTCCAGAGCTTCCATAGGATTTGCAGCTTTTGTTGTAATTGCAGATATGAGGTGACTACGTGAACCATACAAGATCGGTATATGAAGAAAGAGAAATTCAATGTTCAGTACACAAGGCGTAAGTATTTACCCTTGGCAGACCCAAGACTGGGGGATGCTGTTTTTCTGCAGTACCAAAACTGTTTTCAGCAGGCTTATAAGCTTTAATATGTGATTTATTTTCTGGTGTAACCAATGGTGAAATGTTCTTGGGCTCCAATAGCAGGAAACACAGCCCTTCTGTAAATTAATATCAGTACTGTTCTAATTACGTTAGTTGATGTTGTGATGGTAATGTCTAATTCTCATCTGTTCCCAGCATTGATTGACCAAAAAGGGCAGAGTTGTTGAATTGGGTATCAGCTTGTTCAGCCTTTCTGATAAAGAAAGTAAATTACTTGCAGAGTGTTTAAAAGGGTGTGCCAGGAGTGCACTCAGCTTTGCTCTTTAGAAGCCCTGAGGCTCCGCTGTGGGAGACCCCAGGATCACTTCAGCAGGGTTTGCCACACGGTAAGCCCCAGACTCTCAAAGGGCTGGCGTGGACTGCAAGTCAGGCTCATGCCTTTTTTGACTTTTGGCTTGTGACTTCCTGGTGGCAGAACCCGACTGACAGACTAGTACTGACTGCAATGGGTGTTTTTCTAACTGTCTTTTCCTGCTGAGGATTGAGACATACCGTTGTAGCTTTGTTCCTGAGAGAGGATGTAATGCAAAAGAGTGAGGAGGCAGGGGCTGTAGTAGATGTCTGTATGAAGGACTTTAAGAATGGCCTTTATGGCTGTTGAGACATTATGTGGCTGTAATTCTGAAACAGATGGCTTCCCATGTTTTTAAGTTTAGGCAGCTGAAATAGAAGAGAAAGATAAACATCACTGGAACTCTTACAGATAAAATTCGAATCTGAACTTCCTAATAAAATTACACGGGATTCTAATTGTTACAAGTTGCTATCCAAAATAAAGCTCAAAACTCCTCTCCTCTCCTTTCTGTTAGCTACAGCAAAATGTTCAACCAAAGTAAACAGAAACCAGCAACTAAGCTGATGTGGCAAGTGTGGGTGATCTACATAGCCTTGGCTGCACACCTCCCTGAAGAACAAGCCCTGAGACTGGCCTGTCTTTCATGCGATGCCACTGAGTCTTGCAACTGCTCTTCCATGGGTTTGGACTTCATTCCCTCAGGGCTCACGGGCAAAATCACGATGTTAAACCTGGCCCACAACAGGATAAAGCTGATCCGGGCACATGATCTGCAGCAGGCTGTGAACCTGAGAG